AAGAAAAAGAATTATTAACGACTGAATACCAAATTTTATTTTCCTGTCGGTGGCCTCGGAAAAAAACCATCAAAATAAACAGTAACTTGCATGAAGGAGTAATCCGAGTTAACACAATTCAATTTGCATGGCAAGAAAGTGCATATTTCCAACACATCAGCTACTGACAGCATCCTATATATAAAACTTGAGTTCCTTTCACAAAGAAGTGACACTTCAGCACCCACCTTCTTAACACATCACTCAGAATTCATTATAAACAATAAAAACCATCGTAATCTCTGTTTTTAATAATTTCTATTTCCTTCACATCCATGAATGACGTTCAAAATAACAAACCGAACATTATAGTAGAAAAGCAAGTCCCAAAGCGACAAAAAAAAATTAAAAGAGATGTGAAAGCTTATATTCTATTGATAATCTTCTTAAAAAAATGGAAAAGCATGATCCCTAAAACAACTTCTCTGGAAATCCCATAAGACCCAATCATAATTACCACCCAACGTTTTCAGAGAAAACCATGAAATTGTACGCTATTTCTGCTTAGAGGGCGCTAGACGTGTTGCACTCCGACTCTCCGTCATCTCGAGTCTCTTATCATTTGAACCCAACAAGATTAACAGGTTCATGTTACAATTATCAAAAAGAGCTTCCCGTCACGGCATGTTTTAAAGCAGAGAAAGTAAGTTAAAATATCAATCTCATATCCATGTTACCTTTGTGTGTTCGAACATTATGCGGCCACTGCCCGCTCTACAATTTTTGAAGTCTTTCGCCTTATATTGTCCCTTAAACTCTCTTTATATACAGTATGTGTATTTTTATATTTAGAATACTTAGGAACACCAGAAAAGAATGTTTAAAGATTGGAATTGAATTCATAGTCTGGGTTTTAAGCAAAAAGATGATGGCTAAACTAAGAGATATGAGATGCAAGTAATGGCGCTGACAATGGCGTGTCAAAGTAAGGTATTCTACCTTTTTCATATTTACGGTTCTCTCCAATGGTTTCTCTTTTGATCCATGTATTTACATCTTTGTCACTTGATGCATTACTAATGGACGATTTTGGGTTTAAAAGTTGTCGTGTATTAATATTTTTTCCCAGAGTAATTTGTGCCATGGACCTTTCCAATCAAACTCAATATGAAGATTAATCAACCCCACAATGATTAAGAGCAATTCAATTGTTTAAAATTAACGTATTTAATCTCTTAATTCTCTCCCAACTTATGTAAGTGGGGGACTAAATTTATGTAAGTGGGGACTAATGGCATAATTTTTTTCACTTCTTTAAGAGAAGATAGTTGAGGAATAATTTTCTTCTTGAAAAAAAACAAAAGCTTTCTCTTAATTAATGATTAAATGTTTTTTTCATACTTGGTGTTTTCATATCTTAATTAGTTATGTTCTTCTTACAACTTTCAGAAATACTAAAGAATACAAACTCCATTGCTCAAGATAGGATGATTTGGGGTTTCCCAAACAAATTCATGCGTGGTTGGCAAAATATCATGTCGTCTCACCTTTCTTTTCTACCAAATTTACTCATCAGCTCAATAATATATGAGATTTTTTTGGTCGAAACACTAATATATGAGATAATAAATACATATTTTAGTAAAATCCCGCGTGTACAGGCGGATGTTCATATAGTATATAATAATAAAAAAAGACAGAAATCATTGTTCGATGATTTAATTTGGTTTTTGGTTTTCTTTTTGTTTTAATTAAATTTTTTATTATTAAAGTTGAATTTAATATTTCTAGTAAACTTCAAGCCACCAATTGTTTTCGTATAAAACAAAAGGAGTCAGACGCCCATTCAAACTCTATAGCAACCGATCGATAACCATCATTTCTTAAACAAGCAAGGAATGATTGGAAAGGTAACTAAAAAAGATCATGATAAACCATTGTTTCCATCGTCACGTTCGCAAACTAAACCATCATTTCTCTAATCGAAATTTCGAATTTTTTGGTAGGTAGAACTTTTAGAGCATCTCTAATGGTAGTATCTAGAGAAATTTCTAGCCATTTAAAAAATATAAACTCATCCTTCGCCAAGAGTCAAGACACATCTCTTTAACTACGATGCTTTTGGATGAATAGTTTTCACGAGTCCTTATTTATCCTATTGATGCGTATTTATGATCTATTAAAGTTGTAACTCTTCCGACATCGACAAAAAGGCTCACACAGTTGATTGACAAAGATGTTCGAAACCAGTTTACTTCGCTGAGAGCTCAAGGACAATCTCGATATGATAATGACCTGCAGCTTTGGTTCCCTTATAAATCCTATGTTATCTAATTGTTT